AGAGGCAGCCGCGCATGATGCGCTTCATCTGCCGACTGGCGCTCCACAGCTGCTTCAGCATGCGCTGGTCGCGCAGCGCCAGCGCCACGTCGAGGTTCCGAATGTCCAGTGCCTGGGGCGGACAGAAGACCGCCCTCGTCTGGGGACTCTTCAGCTCGGTGCAGTGGAGGGGGAGGCGGTTCCACTCGGCCGAGCAGTGGACCACATTGGCGGGGCAGTGCCGCTTGAGGTGGGCGGGCACCTCGCGCCGCTGCATGGTGTAGGGGCAGCCGTAGGTGGCGTTCAGGCAGGGGATCTGCGGAGAGAGGGGGAGAGAGAGAGAGAGGGGAAAGGTTTTAGAATGCTAAAACACTGCAAATAGAAGCACTCCTCCTCTTTACCTTCTGGTAGTGACAGAGGAGAAAGTGCTCCGGCAGCTTGCAGTAGTGCAGCAGCACCGGGCAGACGTCGTTCGGACAGCGTACCACCGGACAGCTGTCCAGCTGGTCCGTCTCCGGGGGCAGCAGGCCGCCGCTGCTGTAGAAGTTGACGCTGAGGATCATCGCGTAGAGCTCCTCGGTGCTGAGGCCCGGGGAGGCGGAGGTGGCACCGGCGGCGGCAAAGGCAGGCTTGCGAATGCATCGCAGCGGACGGATGCAGTGGCCGCAGTGGGCGTGGATGCGAGTGTAGGGGAAGGGACTGGGCACGGCGGACTTGCTCGAGGAGGAGGAACAGCTGAGGATGGGGTTGACGGTGGGGGTGGTGGTAGAGGTCGTGGTAGTAGATAATCCGTTGTGGTTTTGAGGGTGATGAGGGTGACCATTACCGTGGTAGTGATCAGCGTCGCCATTCACCCCAGGACCAGCCTGCTCCTCCTCGACGACGACGACGATGTTATCATCATCGTCGCCATTCTTTCCGACCTGGTCGCCGTTTTCGATGTTGTTGTTGTGGTTGTTGTGGTTGCTGTTGTGGCTGTGAAAGACATTGGCACTGCTATTATCATCAACAGTCATAATCACGGACGGTGATATCGTTGTCGTCGGAGGGGAAATGTGTGAAAGTGGTCACAGAAAAAAATATTACTTGTCGGTATCTAGTTTATACTAAGCATCATCGATTGCCGCTGATTTATGATTTATGGTCTTTGTGGAAGCACTGCAGGTTCAGCAAAACTGGTGGTGGATCGAGAGTGAGAGTGCCGAGCGGAAGATAAGAGAATTTGTGCTACTGTTGTGTTTTTGCTCAGTCCTTCTCCGCAATTATCATCACAGCAGGTGAGAGGCAAAGATGGTGAAAGAGCTCTGGCAGAGGCGAGAATCTACGTTGTCACGAACACACACACACACACAGACGTCTGATGGGATCCATTTCAAGGAGAAAATGAGAGAGAAAGAAAAGAGAAAATGAGAATGATTGCAAAGACAAAAGCAAGAGTCGCTGTGTACTTACGCATGCAAATCTCCGCACACCTCTCCTCGTACCACTAATTACGCTAGAGTACAATGATGATGATGATGATGATGATACAGTGCGACGATGACCAGACAGTAAACGAGTTGTACTGTACTGTACCAGAAAACAAAACAGGCGACAAAAACAGAATTCAGGTCTTGAGCAGAAAAAGAGAAAAGAGTCGTCGACGACGATGATCAAAACAAACGCAGCAGCAGCAGCAGCGTACGACGATAGTTTCGCCCAACTATCGATTGGCAGCAGGAGGAGCGAGGCAAAACGCCGTCCCAGGGAGTCGCCACATGTTTTCTTCTTTTCTGGCCAGCGGCAGAAAGCGTCCACAAAAGAATCTCCAAGTCTTCTTCTTCAGCTCACCATCATCGTCACCACCGGCAACTTCGTCACCCTTCCCCATCACCACCCTTAACTTCTTTCACCCCATCACCCCACTACTACCACCACCACCACTAAACCACCCTTAATCATGTCCTCCGTCAAGCTGACCCCGGTGCCGCCGACCACCAACGCCGGCGATGAGGCGAACAAGGCCGACGAGGAGGTGACCATCGAGGACCAGCGCAGCATCAACCGCTTCGCCCGCCTCAACGCCAAGGAGGACGACCTCGATGAGATGCTGAAGAGCCTGAAACGGGACCTGGCCAACGTCAAGGAGGCCACCGATGAGCTGCTGCTGGCCGACGACGACGACGATGAAGAGGCCGATGAAGAAATCGGCG